AGCCTTCAATACGGATTGCATCTCAATGTCAAGAAAATAAAGATTCTTACCATTGGACCAGTAGGTAACATCATGACAGATGGAGAAAAGATTGAAACTGTCAACAACTTCATCTTGTTCAGGTCCACAATCAACACCCATGGTACCAGCAGTCAGGAAATTAGGATACATATTGCACTTGGAACATCTGCAGTCAGGGACCTCTCCAAATTATTGATGTCAAATTATTGAGCAATGATGTCAGTTTGGGGACTAAGGTGCATCTAAATCAGTCATTGGTCTTGTGGACAATGAATAAGGATGACAGAAAAAGAACTGCTGTTTTTGAGCTGTGGTGTTGGAGAAGAATATGGAATATCCCATTGACTGCCAACAAAACAAATATATCTTAGAGAAAGTGTACTCAGAATGCTCCTTGGAAGCAAAGATGATAAAGCTTCATCCCACATACTTTGTGCATGTTTCTAGGAGGGATTATTTCTTGGAGAGGGACATCATGCTCAGAAGGTTAGAGGGTCGGTGCAGAGGAAGACCCTCAAACTGGTGGATTGACACAGTGACTGCTGCAACGGGCTCTAGTATGTCAGAAAGTATGAGGATGGCACAGGATAGGATAGGCTTCAAATCTGTTGTTCATAGGGTCATTGTGGGTCATACTTGTCTCAATAGCACCTAAGAAAAACAAGTAGTAAGAAATCATTGTTCAATTTTTGAGTCGTATCTCCATTCTACTAAATATTTGTAAACTGTTTTTTAATCTGGTCATCAATGCAAACATTACATTGCATAGTTTGCCTCAAACGTCTATTCTGGCTTTATGTTTGATAAGCTCATTGATGTTGTTCATTAAAATAATCTGAGAGTTAGGAATGTAAATTTGAACCACTGGAGGACAATTTTGCAATACCAATCAAAAGCCTTTAAAACACTATATCTGCTGATTCTAAACTTCTAGCATTTTGGTGATTATCAGAAATCATAAATTGAGATTTACCATATGCTGTTTAGTGAGACAAACAAATCTGTCTTGGAGGAAGTGCAAACTGAGTGCTCTTTAGAGAGGGGAAAGGATGGTGTAACTGTCTCAGGGTATGTCAGGAGGCCCTAGTCCTTAATAAAAAGCATCATATTGGGAAAGGTAGAGGGTCAACAAAAGAGAGGAAGACCCTCAACTAGATGGACCGACAGTGACCGAAAACATGGCTATATACTTGTATATGTAAAGTGAAATTACTGTACTCAATCAATCTATATGTTAACAATAGGTTGAGTCTAAGGTGATTTTCCTCCTCTGTGCCTTTCCATACTTCCTAGATTTTTTTCAATGAACTTATAATCAAGAAAACAGTTATATTAAAGGTATGGAGAATTATCAAGTCCCGGTCTCTGTTGCCTCACAACTGAGTACTTTCCCCGATACACTTGAGTCCAGAGACCTTCTTGGAGTTCCTTGTTTATATGACACAGATCAAGTCTCTTTATCAATCTGAGTGTATTGAAAAAAAGAACACACATCTCTTCATGCCACCTTGAAATCCCTTTCAGTTCATATTGCACTGACCTATCAACACTGACACATTCAGATCCACCGTTCCTTCTCCCCATCTTTCACCCTCCTCACAATGATTTTTTGTTGTGATCACTTCTGTGCTAACTATAGTATAGTTTCTTCTGGGAACCCATAAACATAAAGCCCGCCAAAAAAGCAAAGTCAAAGGTACATCACCATTAACAAATTCAAGAGCAGCAGAAATTTTCTTATCAATCCATCTGATTTGAGTCAGGTAGGGTAGGGTAATGATAGGGAGCTTTCCACCGTCTCTTCCACTGATCTACTCAATTTGATGCCTACACGTAGAGTCACTGCTTACACTTTTGTAAAAGTATTTGCAATTAATAAGTCATTAATCGCACAAGACTCTATCATGCAACCTCCAGTCTCATTTCCATAAGTAGAGTAAGCGGATGGAACAATTAGTTAAGGAACACATTAGAAGCACTGTATAACTGTATTCAGAGATATGGAATACTTACAGCAGGGAACTTTGGTGGCCTAGTGGTAAGAAGATGGATTGCAATTCCAAATCCGTGGAACTGCAGTTCAAATCCACCAGGTGCTCCGCAGGAGAAGGATAGGCAGTTTCTTCCTGTGAGATGAACTGCCTCAGAAAATTCATTACAGGTTTAGCTATGGGATGGTCCTGACTTGATAGCACATAACAACAGCAGCAGTAATAGTACAAATGTTGCTCAATGAATGGTAAAAATGGGAATATAAAAGAATCAATCTGAGAACCTCGTGCATCACTTTCTCTTTGAAATGTCACCACTATTACTGGGCGGGTGCCATGGAGTCATCTCTAACAGCTGGTTACTTGTTTGGTTTCTGGCAAGAACTGTCCTTGCTGCAGCAGAGACTTAGCTGACTCTCAGGGCTGGTGGGAAGTCCATAGAGAATTTTGCGGCCTACCCAAGAGGCAGTTAGAATCCATCAGTGGTACTGAGCATGGAAGATGGGCACTCTTTTCCCCCTGTTATTTACAGCCTCAGACAATCAATGGAAGGTCAGCTATGAGTTAGTTATGACTTGACAGGAATAAGAGAACATGCAGAGTGGAGTCTAAGCTACTTGTGGTCCTGAATGACATCCAAAAGAAGAATAATGAGAAGGTAAAAACAACACGGCCTTTGGAATGGGAGAGAAACAGGGCCCTGAAAGTGTTGCAGGAGGGGAAATTTTGGAAAGAAAAAAGAAAAGTGAGATGTACTGATCCTGAAGGATAATTCATGTGAGCCATTGATTGCCCCTTCTCCTTGAAAATGGGTGATCTGCTTTATCAATTTTGCTTAAGAAATCCAAACACGCAGAGCTGAAAGCACCAGATAAATCAATGAAGAAATTAGCTCTGGCCTGAATTACCATTTGCTAATAATTAGTAAATAGTACAAAATATTGAAGAAAAGTACTTCAAATGGTGCCCCTTTGAACATCTGCTTTCAGATTGAATTAGAATCGTATATACTTAGTATAGATAAAGCTCTTATTTGTGCTGATAAGAAACAGAAACGAGTCCAAGAAAGGTAGCTTCCTGGCTCCCATCAGGCAGCTATGCCAGTACCTGGGGCATATAGTGCTTTGTTCACCCCACTCCTGAGCTGATCAATTCCTAGAATAGCTTCCCATAAACTTGTGCTTCATTTAGAACAAATGGCTTAACCCTTCCAGGTCTTGGTTTCCTTAGCAGCAAAAATGAGAATATGGATTGGATGACCTTCCACAGGCTATGTTTTATCCATTTGTTTGACTCCCCGATATGCTGGAGCAGTAGTTTTAAAAATAGTCTCCCTAACTAGCATCATCAGTATCATCTGGTTTTGTTATTATGTGCAAGGGTGGTCACATTGGACACATAGCTAACCCTCCAGCAGGTTTTCAGAGGCTGTAAATCACATGGGAGAAGAGTACCCTCGAAGCAGCTGGTTAACTGGTATTGCCTGCCTTTAACTGGCAAACCACCGCCTTACCCACTGGGCCACCTGTTACTAGTTAGAAATGCAAATTCTGAGAGTCACTCCCAGACCTACTGAATCAGAAACTCCAGGAATGGAACTCAGTAACTTGTTTTTGAATAAGTCTTAGGGGAAAGGGGATTCTGATGTAGGTCAAATTTGGGAGGTGATGCTCTGAGTGCTTTCTGCCCAATTCTAGTTTAAATTAAAATACACACCACTAGTTACAGACTCACATACGGTAATCAACTCCTTTTCCCTGGCCATTATCCACCACTAACCCAGGCCCCACTCTTCTAGTCTCTTTCCCCCATGGCTCCTTCATCTAAGGATGATGAATGGAGGTCAGGGAGCTGTCAACCGAGGACCCAGCGGACCATCCCGCCACAAGGCAGGGGTAGGGAGGTGGGAGGCGCCACTGGGGTTTCCCGGCGCTGGTTTCCTTATCATTTGCTCAACGGGACGCTGCCCCCACTTTTGTGGGGGCCCTTTTAATAACAGCAAGTTTGCTTTTCATTATCCAATTGTCTGCAGAATGAAGGAGGAAAACTGCATAGAGATGGTTGTAAGAAAAAGGCTTGGGAAGGGGGACTGGGCGAGAGAAGGAAAGGACAGTTTAGGAAACGAAGGGTCTGAGGTGAAAAAAGTGGGGGAGGGAGATTCAGGGAGTCAATGGTGTGGAGAAATGACTGAGGACATTGCTTTTGGTGTGGGGCAAAAAAAAAAAAAAGTGAAGTTGGGCAGGGCAGGACTCAAGCGCAGCAGAAAGCGGGTGTAAGGAGAGAAGCTGCAGTAGAGTTTGGGGAACAGTTTTCCACCCCAGCTTCCTTTCCAAGACTTTTTCAGTGCTTCGTTTTGCTCCTCCCCCTGCTCCCCGCCTCCTCTGCATCCTCCCTCCTCCTCGCGCCGTAATGGGAGGCTCCTAGGCAGGAGAAGCAAAAGAAGGAATTGTTTGCGAGTTCAGTCATCCAAAAAAGCGTCTTCCATATGGAGGGACCGGGTGCGCCGGGCACGGCGTTCCTCGCCTTGTCCTCCTGCTGCCGCCACCGCCGCGGCCCCCGCTTCCTGCCGCGCGGACCCTGAGCCCGGGCCTGCGGGGTCCGACGCCGCTGCGCGAGCACACACACGCACAAACTCGCTCACACGCACGCACACAAATTTACACACACACGCAGTCCCGCTGCAGCCACGCGCGCCGGCACGCGCTCTGCTCCCGGGCCCGCAACTTCTCTGTCCTGGGCGCTTTTGTTGATCTGGTTGCGGCTACTGTCCTGTTTTGTGTGTCCCCGAGTGTCACTGTGCGTGTTGACTGTCCGCGCAGCGCTGCACCGTGTGGCTCTCCCTGCGCGCCCCACTACCTTGGCCCCGGGGCCCTGACTCAGCCACTGGCTGCATCAGAGGTGAGTTCCGGAGCTGAAGTTTGTTTTCTTTTCATAAAAAGTTTTGTTTATGTGTTGGCGTGGGGAGAGGAGGCAGCCGGAGGCCCAGCAATGCCGCGGACGGACCGGGCGGATGGCCGGTGGGGGACGCGCGGCCGCGGGAGCCGGTCTCCGCGCTTGGGCGCCGGGCTCGGGCTGGAGGCTGCGGCCGAGGCGAGCGCTCCCGGCGCCGCTACCCGAGAAATTGGGGCCACAGAGGCGGCCGGTTCCCCGGGGCACCACCACCAGGGAACTGTGGCCCGCCCGAGGGCTCTGCTGCACACCATTCCTTGTCTGCTCAAGTTTGACCAAGTCGTGGTTATTTCGCCCCCGCTATTCCCGGAAGGCTCTCGGATGGGAGAAGGGGCCGCTCAGCTTCTCCATCTAACTGCGAAAGTTGACACCGGTGCTTCGGCTCGTCACTCCAGGTGTTGGGGAGAAGCCCATGTGGGTGTTGGTTAATACTCCACAGAACTACCTCATACCCGTTTGGCCGCTTAGATGGTAAGAGTATATGGTTGTATAAAGGACACACTAAAATGAAGGAGCGAAGGGGAGCAGCTGCCGAAAAGCATCCCCGGCTGGAGGGCTGGAGAGGGCGAGGCCGGACTGCAATGTCCAGAGGTGACTGTGGGACTGGGCGGTGGGAAGAGGCTGTGTGTCTGCGCGTGTGTCCGGGTGCCTGTGCGCGCGTGCAGCATCCTCCTGAGGTTGTGCCCTCAGGGTTTTGTTTGTGTGACTGAGAGAGGATGGGAGAGATGAACATCTGGAGCAAGTGGGAAGGGGATGTGGAGAAGACCAAGGAACTGAGGAAGGAAAATATTCAGCTGGGGTTTTGGAAGCTCTGTTTAATTTTCAGGGTGATCTCGGTTAGTTTGGTTTTTCAGATGATGAGAGCAATTTTGAGAGGTTGACTGTAAGCCATCAGATTTGGTCTGGAGAAGTTTCAGGAGCCCTGGGAAATTGTTTTGTTTAGTTTTGTTTGGATTTGTTTTGGGGACTAGTGAAAGACTGGGTAGTGGTGGCAGTGGTAGGGTTGCTTGAAAGGTTGCTGCGTTCCTACAGAGATGTGGCAGCAGAGCTAAGAATACCCAGACCGCACACCAGCAATCCTAAACAGGCATTTTCTGGGCGTGGTGGGGTGTTTGACCGCACCCCCTTTACGCTTCCCCCATTTCTTCTCAGTAAGTTCAAATGGGTTCGCATAAATTTGTTGACCTAGAGTCACCTCTTTGAGTGAACTGAGTGAAAAAGATATTTTTGGGTTCAGACCGCTGGTGCCATCCCCAGGTGCCCAAGACATATTTGACATTTAGTTCTTTGTTGCAAACTTGGGCCATCAGATGAGCACAACTTTTAAAATTCTTGAATGTGCAGACATTTCTGATTTATTTGGTGGCTGGACCCTTAACAGGCAGCCCAGTTCTGTGATGGTTTTTTCATCCCTTTGGTTACAGCTAATAAATCACTCTCCATTTTCTCAAAAGGGCAGCATGGAAAATATTAAAACATGGTCTTGTCCGCCTGAGGTGGGTGCGGGGGCAGCCCTTCCATCGTGGAGACCTGATTTCTGAACTTAAAGTGAATCTGAACATGAGGTTGGCCATTTTGAGGTGTGTAACTGGTTTCCCAGGAATGTTTTAGAGGTCTCATAATTGGCACTTTTTAATGGTCTGATAATTGAAACCCAGAAGGTTCCCATGGTAATCCTCAAGCAACTTGGGGTCAGTGGGATAGAGGGGAGGTGGAAGCAGCAAGGGAGTTAGGATTTTCCTGTTAGATGAGTTTTGCAAGTGAGTTTATGGAAAGAGGTTATGCTGTCCACACCTATGAAGTCTACCTTTATGATGGAAACTTTAGACAGTGGGGTTTTGGTTTTGGAGTTTTTTTCCTTCACCCTTTTTCAAGTTAGAAGAGAAACATTGCAAGAGACTTAAGAGATATTACTCAAACCCTAGCCTACTGGCTTTACTGGGGAGTGGAGGTTGACCGTGATAGCTCTTGGTTCCTTTACCACAGCTGTGGGAGAAGGGTGGGAAACAGGGAAGAACCTGCTTAGTTGGTGGTTGGTTGGCCAGTTTGCGGGAAGGAGTGTGATTATGGCCTCTTTGGGTCGTCTTTAGAGTGTCCAGAGTCTTTCCTTTTCTATGAAGTGGCTTTTCAAGTGTTTGGAATCACAGGTCTCTTCAGCAGCTGATCTGTGATTTCCATGACCTCAGAATGAATAGGAGATTTTACTCATTAAACAGTTCAGTTGACTTCTCAGCGAACCCCACAGAGTTTAAGAAAGGAGGACAAAAGATGAATTTTATGAACACATTACTCTGTGAGGCTCTAAGGAGGTCTGGGTTCAGATTTGGGCAAAGTCACTGGCACAGTTAAGGACCTTTTCTGTGACGACAGCTGAGGAAGACCCAAATGTCCAGCATAAATTTCTTTCCAGTACTTTGTGATCTTTGATTAAGAAAGAATCAACTTAGGACCAAAGGGTGCATTTGTATTTGGCTTTCTTTTTTTTTCAAACCCCAAGAAGTTTCATTGTTATCTGAGAAAAATAGGTGCGAGGAAGAGAATGGAAATTAGGAATGGAGAGAAAAGAAAGTGATACTTTACATTAATATGTACCTGAAATAAATTATAAAATACATTTAATCTATTTCATTGATGTACATATGTGTCACATAACGTGAGTAGACTAAGAGAAAATATATTTGCTTTAACATAAGCAATACAACTTTGACTAGGTGAGAATCCATTCTGTCATGGGTGATGAAAAAACAACCAAAAACCAACCCCAGTTTTAGAATTGAGGTGATTCAGAATGCTAACAACAACAGGAAAATTACAGGTAGAAATCCTGGAATGAGACTCAGAAAAGGCCTGGTGAGCCTTTTCAGGAGCCTGCTTGCATGACATTGGATTATTGCCAGGCCTCTTGGCCTGTTGAGAGTTATGACAAACATTCAAAATGGTGTAGTCAGCTGCCATCCTTGAGCTGGGCACTCCCATTTTTAACTCAGCTTGACAAGAGATGTGAATGTTATGCAACTTACACTGTCCTTGTTTTCTAAGAGGAAGATTTCTTTTTTGTAGAAAGCTTCCACCCGTAGTATTCCCCATTCTAGTTACTGTTCCAGTTTACCTGCATTTCAAAAGATTAGATGGTGCTTCTTTGACCATACTAAACCAGTCTGAGGCAGTTCAGATCCCTCTATATAAGGAACTTCTTGATATTTCTCTACTTTAACAAAGATTTATGTACTTCACATGCAATGTGAACTTTGTCCCAAGAGAATAAATTTCCTTAGTCAAAAAAATGGTACCACTCCTATTTTTATTTATTGTGTAAGCATCTACTAACAAATAAAATACTGTCTACAAAAATTGCTCAGAATCCTATATTGTTGTTCTGTGCCATTGAGTCAGAATTGACTCATAGCTGACTCTCCAGAGGTGAGGCTGTAGATCACATGTGAGGAGATTGCCTGTCTTTCTCCTGCGGAGAGCTAGTGGATTCAAACAGCCTACCTTTGGGTTTGTGGTGCACATCCTTGCTATAAGGCTAACAGAGCTCCCTACAATCTTATAGTGTAACATAAATTGTTTTCATTCATCCACATGCACATATATGTTTTACATAGTTATGATAATGTGATGGATTCTTGTAGTCAGAGAGCCCTGAAATATTTCTATAGGTTTTCTGACCAAACCCTTACAGATGAGTGCAGCCACAAGTGGCTTTGAGCCCATATTTAATGCTCTCACTTTTTGTCCCTGTCTGTAATGTCCTCTTGGGCCAGAGTATGACTATGATGAGAAATCACTTTGCTATTGGTAGGAAGGACCTACAAAAACAAATTTAACATGTGATATTTTTATGCCTTATGAGGCTGAATCAAGTATTTGATGTTGAGGGGGGACCTTGCAGTCATTGGAGTTGGTAATGGGTGAGGGAGACGTGAAGGAAGTTAGGTCTTAAGAATCCATCTCAAGTGGCACTGCCTTTTGGATTCAGAAATTTAGGCTGGAGCCCTAGCTCTGCGTGTAAACTCCATGCACACTAACTCGGCCCACCAATCTCATCAGTTCCTGTGTCTATACTTCCACAGAGTTAGATGCTTTCCCCAAGCTGGCCAAGAGTGCTCAATTGATTGCCAACTTTTCTTCTTATTCCATCCATCTCCCCCATCTTTCCCATGCATTCAGCCACCATGCTTGCTTATTCTCTCGTCAGCTGCTTCTAATCTCCGACTGGGTTTCCTACAGACTCCCCATCACCTCCTCCACTAGTCCTATGACATAGTCAAATTACTGTTGTTATGAACCTTCCAGTAGGAACTGAGTCATAGCTGACACTCCAGCAGGTGTTCAGAAGCTGTAAATCACATGGAGGAGATTGCCCATTTTTTCCTGGTGGAGCAACTAGTGGATTCAAAACCCCTGCTCTTGGGTTAGCAGCACAATTCTTCACAAATAGGCTACCCATCTAAAATCAGTCTTTAGTAAAAATTCAAATTCTCTAGCCCTATTACATAGCTCTGTCCCCTCTTCATAATAATCTCTCACTAAGAATCCTTTAGGGAGCTCTGGTAACCTAGTGGTAAGGAGTTGCACTGGCAACCTAAAGGTACACAGTTCAAATTAACAAGCTGCTCTGTGGGAGAAAGACAGGCAGTCTCCTCCCATGTCATGAACTACCTCCGAAAACCACCTGGAGGGTCAGCTGTGGGTTGGTCCTGACTCTGTTGTACACAGCAACACAACAGGAGCCCTTTGCTCGAGTCTTGTGTACTTAGTAGCTCACTCTAGCAGCATTTTCTACGTTCGTTCTTTGCTTGCTGCCTTATCACCCCAGATACCCTCCCCGTCAGCCTACTTTACTATGTATGCCCAAATCTACTACCATAAAGTCAAGTCTATCTCATGGAGACCTTCCATCTGGTTCCTGAGGCTGTAAATCTTGGCACATGGAGCTGCAGCAGAGCAGCTATTGGGTTTGAATGTCTGATCTTTTGGTTAGCAGTGGCCATATAATGTATCCCTTCCACACCTTACTATGTGTGAGGCCTGCCCCTTGCTATGTATGATGTCTGATTAGAATGTATTCTTGAGAAATATTTGGTGACCACTAATGAAAGTGGGCTGCTGAGCTCATAGATAATGGTTTTGTAAGTGTATCAAAAGTTTTACATATAACCATTATCCTTAATCCTTTGAGTGTTTCCATTCCACCAGGGAGCCTGGCAGTCCTAGTTGCTAAACATTTGGCTGTTTCATGAAAAGTTGATAGTTGAAAACCACCTATCAGAGAATCCCATGAAGATGACAACCTCAGCCGCTCTACAGAGAAAGTTCTACCCTGTCCTACAGGATCACTGGGAGTTGCAGTCAACTTGATGGCAGTGG